TTGGCTTTGTCAATCTGTTCTACAACGTAGCAACAGCAATTTCAGTACAATTGTCTCTGTGATTTTTTTCCCCAAAATGAAATCCAAAACACTTTTAGAAGAGAAAAATGAATAATTAGAATTATAGCTTATGTTTCCCCCTTCCCTCTCACCTTCCCTCTCAAATTTGGAAATGGAAGTACATGTGCAAAAATACTGTAGTTACCGACACACTCTCTAGAGAGCAACAAATAAAATACTGGAAGTATAAAATATTCTTAGATCTTTAAGTATCGTATTAAAAAACCTTCCGCTTTCTCTTTATTTCCAGTTATATTTAAAAACAAACGTTGAAAATAGCAGGAATTTTTCCTTGATAAAATGTTTTCCAGCTGTGCAAATCACATTAATGTGGGCAAAACACTAGAAAACATACTAAATAAAAATATAATAAGCCTACCCTGAAGGGGAAAAAAGATGCGATCTGCCTAAGCTATCACGTTCTTCCACTTTCTAACAACTGACTTTAAACTGAAATTTCGTATGTGGCAAAGCAAAATCTTCTATTTACTCAATATTAACCAACTCTAATCAGAGTGATGCACACATAGGTTTTAATTATAAAGTTGCCTGTAAACCCAAAATGAGATAGCTAGGAGTACTTGTTACTGCATAAGGGAGAAAACCTATTCATTCCCATTCCTCCTACCCCCCCCCCTTCAGCAGCGCCAGCTTGTCTGCCTTAATTACCATGCTAGAACAGGACCTCACTTAATCTTGCTAACATGGTGTTCAAAGAAAAAAAAAATAGGAGGAGGGGAGGGGGTGTCAGGGCAGCAAGGAACAGGGCTTAGTGTTTAGTATAAGACCAACAGTGACATATGAATTGTGACTTGGCAAAAGTAAGTCTAGGACTTGCAATAAATTACCTAGTTTCTAAGAAACCAAAAAAATTGCTGGTCCTTCCCTCCACACTTTTGTATCGCACACAGGATTTTAAAACTTCCTTCAGCAGATGTATTACCTCTACCAACGCTAACCTTGTCCTAGGTTCTACATTTACAGATAGAAGGCATCTCCTGTCTCGAGTTTCCTCAAGACAGGTATATTCATAACACATGACAGAAGAACCCCACAACAGTTAGATGAGGGTAAACAACTACAACAAGAGATTCAAGCGCAGCAAAAGCTATTTCTTTAACCAGACTATTTGGGTTGCCCAAAACTAATTCAATCTTCGAAGAAAGCATTACAGGAGCAGTAAGGGATAGTCGCAGTCTTCAGTGCAAGACCTACAGTGAAAGGCTCTGGGCCTTGGGACTCAGAGGGATTCAGTTTGAATGAGAAACTCCGGAGCCAGATCCACCAGGCTATTCGAGAGCTGTCCTCTCTCCCGTTATACACTTCTTCTCAAAGGATGGATCCAATCATTACCAAAATTACCTCAGAAACGGACATAAACGAGCAAGGAGAGCACGTTGTAATCACAGCTGAACTCATAAGGCCTCAAAGAGTCGCAATTTATGATTATCAAGCCATTGCCGAGGTATTTACAACTCCATTCAGTTAAATGGCTTGTTGAACTTAAGAACAAACAAAAACCCAAAGAGGGACCTGCATACAAGAAAGATTACACGAGCACGTGCAGGAACGGCAAACTGCAAACTGAACTTGCAGTTAACTGGAAGTAACATAGGTTTATTTTAAAATATCAAAAGCAGTCATGCTATTTGCCTATCATCATTTTGTATGTTCATGAAAAAGAAATAGTCCAATGATGTATGGAATAGATAGAAAGATCAGACCCGCCTGAGAAGCAGCTTTATTCAGCAACTTCAGTGAAATTCTGGAAAAGTGAGTCACAAATATAATAATGCCTTACCCTAGCCATTAGGTTCTTTTACAGAGTGATCCTCTAAGGGATATCAACACTAAGAGAAACACTTCAGGCCTAGTAATAGCTTTCTTAAATTCAAAAGTGTTTCCAAGGAAGTACACATGAGTGTATGCATAAAAGGAATCTAGGAGGAATGTCATAAGAGGACAGAAAGAAAGGAAAGAAAAAGAGGTTTGAAAAAGAGGAACTAAGCGCTATCAGCACGTAAGTAGTTAAGAGAGAAGATAACAGTGGGTTACCGTATTAAGTACATTAAGCACAAAAATACGAAATTAACCAAAGTTTGAGCAATGAAAATTAATAATAAAATACTCTCACTGAATCAAGACAGAGCCACCTTTGAAAGCCACAAGTAAATCATAGAGTGCATGATCGAATTTGATGTTCAAATTAGCATTTCTATTAAGAGTAAAAGGAAAAAAGAAAATTGCAGATATTTATATCTAAATATAACAACCGCTAATTTAAGGTAAGCATTGGAACCAACAGATAAAAAGCATGGCTGAAGGACTAGTGAACAGTTGATTCATATGGTAACTTGGATAAATAAGAAAGCAGAAATTCAATAAATTAAAATAATGCCAATAAAGTTAGGGAAATGAGGAAAACGTTCCAGCTCGGGTAACAAAAACTGCTCCTAACAGCAGTCTTTGCTAGCTTTGTCTTCCATAGGTAGCAGAGAAGAAAAAAAAAAAACAAACCACTCCAGCTGTACGGATATTGTTAGCTAAGTGATGTTTAGCTCTGCTTTGGCTGTTTCTGCTTTTATTTTACGTGCACGTACAAAAAGGGGACAAATATCATACTTTACAGATTAATTGCTATGGCTGAAGGTTGAAGCCAAAAAGCCTGAGGAAAATATGAACAAATAAAGGTAAAGAAAAAATGGATCTGATAAAGGTTTTTCCTTTGGAGATGGAGGCAACCTGTTTCTCTTGTCAGGGATAGATTCTTCCTGTTATTGATAGTGATCGTAAAGATAATGAGTGCATCTGCTTCCACCATCTTGAGAATTATTAGAAATTATTACAATAAATCACTAATACTGTTTGTATCTTAAGATGCTAAGAATAATGCTGTGCTATTAACAGAACTTTTCTGTTTCAGGGATATACTACGAATGGACTAAAAAGTATACAACCAGAATGGACTAGAATGTTCCAACTCCAAAGGGTGGAAAAATAATCTAACCTAAGTGAATACAGTGAAATATTAAATTTTTGAACTTCTCATATCAATGTTTATTCATACTGGGGTGCTAAGATGTGAACACAGGCAACAGAAATGCTTCTTTTCTAAAGCAGAAGCGTTAGAACAGGAAAATATTACCGACAATGCTATAAATTGTACCCAAATGCAATTGCTAGCAATTAGGGCTACTAATAGGATAGCTATTTTATATTTTATATATATAAAAAAAATAAATGCTCTACAGCCACAAAAACACCCCCACTATGGGTGGGAGAAGTGTCCAGGTTAGTTTAAGATCCAGGCATGGAAATAGAATGCAACAATGTCATTAAGGACAAACTAAAATCAGGACATCGTAGGTGCAAAACAAATACAACCGCCAAAGAGTAAAGGCACAATCCCCACTAGCATTACCGAAAATGATCCATTGTCACTTTGGATACCTAATGAGAGCTTGATGCATCAGTAATGATGTATTAATAGAGATAAACACGTGTTGTGAAAAACTGAGTTTTCACAAATGGGTTTGGTCCTACAAGGATGCAGCCTGAACAACGCTGCACTCCTATGAAGCAACAACTACTTGTATGCAACACCAGTTAGCAGTTAATGATTCTCACACACACAACACTGCAAACGGGCGCACATGTGCTTTTTCCCTGTATCTAGCTTATTGGAATCACATTAGATAATTTTTTCCATGTGGGGTTCAGTTATGTATAATAACCTTCATGTGTATATATATATATATATAGAATGAAACATACACAGGGTCCACCCATATAATGTATCAACTATAGCATAATCAGAATTATGCAACATGGAAGATCACTACACTAGGATAGGAATGCAGTCACTAGAACAAACTTATTAGCGAATCTCAACAAATGGAACAAGAAATTGAAGTATAAAGAAACACCAAGCCAGGAAATGTCATATTGTGATAGAAAACCAACAGCTATTATGATTAAGAAGGGATGCAAAAATCCTATCACCATTACATTATTTTTTAAATAATAAAGTCACCTGAAGCCACAGCTGTAATCCAATTAGCTTTAACACCCTGCAGTTATTTCATTTGCATTGCAAATTGCACTGTTAACAGTAATGCTAATAATACTGCAATATACTGTACATAGCTTTGCACACCTTACCTCTATGATTAACAGTACTGAAGATCACACACTCATTGAAAAAACAATCAGAGGTCCAAACTGCTACTCACATTATGTTTTGTTGCACTAATTTCCTAAATAACCAAAACTATCCAGATAAAGGGATCTGCTCCAGTCTTGCAGTAATATAGTACTTCTAGCTAAAATTCCTCAGGTTTTCTCTTGTCTGTAAAGGGATACATACACAACTAACTAAAGAGCAGTAACATTTATAGAGTATCTTTGCAGAGGGCTATTGAAAACTTTGTCCATTATGGAAATATTTTAAGACTTAGAAAAACGTAGAAGTACAAAATAGTTTGAATATATCAGAAAGGGGTGCAAGCATACACATCCTCTCATCAGTTGTTCTTGTTATCAGAAAAAAAATACATATCTAGTTTACTATTTTGAAATTAGCCAAGAATGATTCATGGCCAATAAATTAATGCAGATTTTAAGCTCGAAAAAATTATCAGATCATCTAGAAAAAAAATCTTAAGCATTTTTAACATCACTCAAGTTTACTATTAATTCTAAAGAAAAACAAGACTACAATTTTACTTGAGATGAAATACAGTTGGTCCTCCTATTAAAAGATCCAGGAAAGTTCTCTATCTCATTTTGAAGACGGACTTTGACAACCAAACTGCACTTAACCTATTTTGTGAGCACCAACTGCAGCTATAATAAGTCAAATCCATGTTGAGGAGTACTTTAGAAGGAAAAGAAAAATTCTAATTGTTTAGTAGTTAACAAAAAAGCAGCTTTGAACATACTTAGAAGTAAGCCATGCGTCTCTCCAGGACACTGCCTTGTGGATGCTTCTGCTGAAGGCAACACTCCTTCCTCCATCGTAGGGGACTCTGTCAGGTCATTTCTATCACAAGTCAGGCCAAGTTTTGTCTCTGAGACAGCAGTTAAACGGCTGACATCCAGTTCTGCTGGAAGCTGATACCACGACTCCATTCCCTAAAACACGTGGGGAGAAAAACGTTATCAAATGTTCAAAACTTTTGCTTACCAAAAAAAACAAAAAACCCACCAAATGCTAAAACAAATCTCTTACATCACGTTAATACTTTTTCGGTACATCTAGCCTTCATCTTTAACATATTAATCAAGTGCCATAATCACACTAAGTTAGGAAAACTAAAGGTAGCAACAACAGCATACAAATATACAAGCACATTAATAGTGGATCTTATTTCGATACCTATTCTAATTATGACTCACCAGTATTATGGAACAAAATAGTCTTTGCTTAAACATTACCAACACCAATTTGTTTCTTTATTATTTTTTTAAAGAAAGAAAAAAGACTTTCAGTGAAACAATACCCTCCTGGAGCATCAGAGTCTTAACAGGATATCCTAACCGTGCAAATAAGGATTACAGTGTAAATCTATTGCTATTTAGACAAAATTTTAAAAAGAGTCATCACATGTTTTTCCAAAATGAAAGAATACCTCACCAATGAGGTATAATAATCACTGTCTATAACAGCAAATGTAACGTTAATGATTGAAAACAGGGTTGTCAGTATCCACACGGTTCATTTCTCCCCTACTACAAGTCACAGGACAGGAAAAAGGTTTTTTAAGAGGCACTCTCCTCCTTCCAGACCATTACTGAAACGAAGGCACTGAAGGAAGAGATTAGAGGAGGTAGTCTCACACAGTGTGTTACACAGAGACAGAAACCTCTTGCAGCCCCATTCAGGGCCCAATAGCATATTTGGCTACAGCTCCTCCAGCCATTATAACCCCATAACCTTGTGACATGTACAGAATCACTGATCTTTAAAAGGTCTTTGGGTTGATACTGCCAAACGATAGGTTCCCTCTAGCATAGCTTCTACAACAGACCAGTTTTAAAACACTTGGGGGCGGGGACAGGATCTCAAGCATCCAAAAAAAATTTTAAGTTGTAGTTTCAAAGAGAAAAAGACTAAGTTGTGAAAAGTAAAATTATTATTCCACAGTGTATTTTCTATACTAATATTCAATTTTTTAATGTAATAGAAGTAGGATCCACAAAATAACTGCGGAAGTCCACAGTCAGTTCTCACTACTGCCTGAATTCTCGTCTCTCACTATATATTCACTGGCCTTCTATCATTCATCTGAAACTCAGCTCCATCTCCAAATCATCCTACCACGGCAGAAGACTTTTCCAAAACAGAATGAAATCTCTCGCTTACAAACAACAATGATCTTGAAGCGGACAAATGCTTTAGTAAGATGCTGGGTCAACAGAGTTCCTGGCACTGCTTAGGGAACGTTGTTTGCACTGTACATCTGGGGATTAACAAGTACAACACTCGCTGGTTCTCCTTTAAAATAAGTGTCTAATTATATGAATCCTGAATTCACACAGATGATGACTGAGTATTTTAACCAGCTCTTAGTGGGTTTTTTTTTTTTTTTTTAAAGAAAAAGACTTTCAATTCATGTTTAAACAGAAAGGAGCACCTTTAGTTCAAATAATTCATTAAAGAATTTGCACTGGGATTACAAGGGAAGTAATTAAATGGATAAATTTTTATTATGGAAAAGACACAGACCAGTCTTCGATGCAGAGAATTAAGAATACCCATCACCTATAACACACTACACCATTATTATGAGCATAAATAATTTGCAATTACAGATAAGTTAATATAAAGTGAAGAAAGTGTCCCAGAGATTTGATAAAAGGAAAACAGTATCCCTACTTAATAGCTGCAAGCTCTTCTACCTTTTGAAATCCTGGTAAGGTATTAAAGGCCGTTTTTCAAATTAAGATCCTGCTATACGTACTACATTTGTCCAATATTCTTATAACCATTAGGAAGTACATTTCTAATAAACTCAATATTTTCAAAAATTTATGTTTTATGTCATTTTTAGAGTAATGAAATATTTGGCTACACATCCATTAGATAGAAACGACTGTGACTGTATCATGATATGAATATGATTTTCCTTAATCACGTATGGAGGACATTTCATTGAAACCAAGGACTAAAACTAGTCAGATTTCACATGAACAGAAGCACTGCTCTGTGCTCACACGCAGAGCAGATACTTTGAGGTAGACAGAGCCGACAATTTAGAGGCAGTAGCAGGATCAGAGTTATAGCGAAGCACAAGCTGAATACAGATCAAAGATGCGTTGTTGCAAAGAAGAAAACATACTGGAAAATACATTTAAGTTTAGAACCAGAAGAGACAGAACAAAATTCACTCCAATCTCCTCATCCCAGGTAAGTTCTCAGCTGAGCTGCTAGGGGCTCAGTTTTGAACTACCCATGCCAAAAAGGTATATAAAACTTGGAGCAAGAATAGGCTAGGTGACTTGTCAGGGTCCATAAAAGTCCTATCTTTCTGCAGTACCAAGATACAGAAACATAGAACTCACCTGTGGGGACTTATAGTATACAGGACACAGCATTTTACATTATTTTAAACCACATAATTAATCTTCAACCACAAAACAAAACAGACTTCTACTGCTCAGCACTCACAACCAAAGACAAAGCACAGCAGAAATACCTCATTAATGGCAGACTTCTGACGTATTGCTTCTCCCAGAGAGACACCACTGGTAATTGACACCTGGGTTCCACTGCTGCTCTGACTTAATAATTCCTCCTTCCAGCTAGGATGTGGTGGAGTTGTGGCAATAGGCTAAAACACACACATGAAGCATGTTTTTAAAGCAGAAGATAAAGGTCTGGGTATTTCAACGTGTAGATGCATTTAGGCAACAGGCAACGAAATATATAAAATACTCAGACATCCCCAATGCCTAAAATTAGACCTCTACTTCAATATACTTCGGAAACGACATATATCCCACCCACATTTGACAAAACATTTGACTAAAAGGGGCAGATTCATTTGCCACTTTATATCCCAAGATAACAGTAAGTATAATTTTCTACACATTAGTCAATCGTTTTTTGAGGGCCAGAAATTTATTTCTCATTCCTTCTCTCCCCCTACCCCCATTTACATGCAGCACTCAGTAAATTGCAAAACACATACCAGAAAGACTCATCATCATCAAAATCAGTTTCTGGCATTTGTCCTGTCTGGTATATTAATAGCTGCTTAGGTTTTTTAATAGTCAGTTATTTTTAGTTACTTTTCAATATTCATGTTCTAAAATAAATAATCAATGCTGTAAATTCAGTATAAAATAAGGCAACCTATGCAAACATCATAGAGCAATTGAAGGTTAATTTCTATATTATAATTTAGCAATATCCGATACACTTTTAGGGCCCATGAACTAAAGGTAAATTGGATGGGTGCCCAAAAAGCAGCTGTAACATCG